GCTCTTGTCTGTAGAGATGAATCTGAATCACCTCCACCATCACCACCACCGCATTCACATGCTAGTATGTAGGAAAAGAGAAAAAACCAGTGGAAAACAAGTAGCTTTTTAATGCATATAACTTGTAGGTTACAATGCATTTCATCCTTGTATCCCATTAGGCAGAACATAATCATATATATACACTATCTGCAAGTAAAATGCAGAAATGCAAGTGTTATATTTTTAAAAGAAAGAATGATTATTGGAAGCCTATCAATCCCTGCCATGTGAATGGTTACTATTTATTCATCACTTATGTATGTCAGACATTGTTCTGGGTTCTTTGTTACCTTACTCAGAGCCCTCGTGAATGAGATGCATGGATTAACTAACTGTCTCCAGCTAGGTCATCTAAAAGGTAAGAAACAGAGTTGGGATTTGACTTCTAAATATAGATACAGTGTCATTTCTATCACACATACTTGGGAGATTAATTAGAATAGATCAAGATTTTTGAGCCAAGCAACTTGAAAGCTGTCATTAATAAAGACAAGCAAATTAAACAATTTTGTGTGGGATGAATATGAATTCACCTTAGGTCTTTTAAATTTAAGACATCTCTTTATATCCAAATGAAAATGTAGATGTCCATCAGCTCACATAGTAACTCCTCCTTTTTGGATATTTAAAATATCTTAGAAAATTTCAAATATACAATACAATATTATTAACTGTCATCACCATGCTATACATTGGATCTCCAGAATTTATCCTATATAACTGAAACTTTGTATCCTGTGACCAACAACTCCCCATCAACCCACCTTACCTTCTCACCCGGTCCCTGACCACTACCAGTCTACTCTGTTTCTACAAGTTTAAAAAGATTCTGCCTGTAACTGAGTCACACAATATTTGTATTTCTCTGCCTGCTTTATTTCCTTAGTATAATGTCCTCCAGGTTCATCTATGTTGTTGCCAGTGACAGGAATTGCTTTTGTTCGAAAGCCACGTAAGATTCCATTATGTATTAGCTTTGTATATTTTGTCTGATACAGTCTCATTTGTCTGTTTTTGCTTTTGTTGCCTTTGGGGAATTATATCCAAAAATTATTGTCCACACCAGAGTCTTAAAGGCTTTCCCCTGTTTTCTTCTAGTACTATGTTGTTGTATATGATGCGAAGTAACAGTCTGAACTCATCCTTCTACATGGGTATATCTAGTTTTCTCAACAACAGTTAATGAAGAAACTGTTGTTTCTGCTTTGTGCGTTGTTGATGTCTTAATGAAAGATCAAAAAAACTATACATGGGATTTATTTCCAGGCTCTCTGTTTTGCTTTGCTATAGGCAAGTACCATTGTCATTACTATAACTTTGTTCAGCATCATGCCTCCTCCATTGTTCTTACTCAAGATTTCTGTGTGTCCCCTCCCCCCCGATTTGTTTGTTTATTTTTGTTATTCCAGTGAATTTTAGCATTGTTTTTCTCTATTTGTGGAAAAATACCATTGTAATTTTAATAGGAATTGCCTTAAATTTGTAGATTGCTTTGAGTAGCATGGGCATTTTAACAGTATTAATTCTTCCAGTCTATGAACATGGGATATCTTTTTGTGTGTTTGTGTCATCTTTGATTTCTTTCATCAGTATTTTCTGTTTTTCAGTATACAGATCTTTCTTCTTGGTTCATTTTATTTGTAAGTATTATTATTTTTTAAGTGTTATTACAATTAGAATTATTTGCTTGATTTCAGTTTATTGTAGCATATAGAAATGCAACTGATTTTTGAATATTGATTTTTATACTCTGAAACTTTACTGAATTAATTAGTTCCAACATTTTTAGATGCTTTTAGGGTTTTCTGTGAATAATATGCCATCTCTAAACAGAAACCATTTTATTTCTTCCTTTCTGACTTAGATGCCTTTTATTATTTTTTTATCTAATTAAAACAGTGGGCAGTAAACCTAATTAGACATTTCTCAAAAGAAAGGATGTAAATAACCAATAGATAAATGTCAAAATGTTCAATATCATTAATCAGGAGAGTGCAAATCAAAACCACAATGAAATATTATTTCCAGTTAGAATGGCTGTTACCAAAAGGACAAAAACCAAGTCCTGGTGAGGATGCGGAGAAAAGAGAACATTTACACCCTATTGCTAGAAATGTAAATTTAGTATAGTCATTATGGAAAATAATATGGAGGTTCCTTAGAAAATTAAGAATAGAACTAACATATCTATGATCCAGTAGTTCCACTATTGGGTATATATGCAAAGGAAATGAAATCAGTATGTCAAAGAGATATCTATACTCCTAGGTTTATTTTTCAGCACTGTTCACAATAGCCAAGAAATGAAATTAACCTGTATCCACCAATTCATGAATGTGTAAAGAAAATATGGGGTATATATACAGTTACACAAACACACGCAATTTGGCTATAAAAAAAGATCTCTACTTACTTTATCTCCATAAATTTGTAGATCTAGTTAGGTCTAACTTTGTAGTTCACCAAGTAAATCCATGGCTAGGGTGTAGGTCAGTGGTAGAGAGCTTTGCTAGCATGTATGAGGCCCTGGGTTTGTGCCCTAACTCTGTAAAAGGGAAAAAAAAAGCACTATTTCCATGTGCTTTGATTGTTCAGGAAGAGGTACTATTTTAAAATATAAACACACTGAAAGAAAAAAAAATTTTCCCGAGTTACTTAATTCAGTTATGTTAGCAATTAAATTCACTTCCTGAAACTTGAGCTTTGAACTAAGGACCATTTTTTTTTTCTTTTTTAGTTTTAGGTTTTTGAAAAAGAGGAACAAGCTTCTATCTTGATCTTTAATTCTCTAATTTAATGCATCTAGACATAGTGGCATTCATTTTGTGATTAGCCTCAATCTTATAATCCAGATCTTTTAATTTTGTTTTTTGTTTGTTTTATATTTAAGCCCAGTGTTTATCATGGAGTCCCATCAGCCACCTGTACAATAAACTTAATTATGTATTCATATTTATTTTCAGTTGCTGCTGTAACAAACTACCACAAATTTAGTGGTTAAAACAACACCATTATCTTCAAAGTCTCTACAGATAACTTTAAAAGGCCAACATGGGTCTTACGGAGCTAAAGTCAAAATGTTACAGGACTGTGTTTCTTTCTGGAGATTCTAGAAGAAAACCTATTTCTGTGCTCATAATGTAGACAAACTGTTTCTCATTTTTATTTCTCATTTTCCCCCTCATTTCTTTTAATATGATTATAGTCTAATATAGTTTAGTTTATAATTTAAGATAATCTATATGACAGTGAATAAATATAACTAATTTTCTGTAAACCACAATATTCCAATTCTCTATTTAATTTTGCTTTCAGGAGACAGAAAAAGAAGTTTTTAGTGCTAATGGTAGTAATGGGGATGATGATGATGTTGAACCTTTGAAGATCTGTTTCCATTTCATACATTTAAAAGGTCCCTTGCAGTCTTTTGACAAGACTTACTTAGTCTTTATCTTAATTGTTAGTATATTTGAGTATTTCATATTTATTTCAGTTTGTTCAACTCATTTTTAATCACACTTGGAAATCTTATTTTCTAACTAAATCTTGTAGTTTATATGGAAAAGGAAGGGCATTGTTACTTAAATTTTAATTGGAAAGCAAGCTCTTGGCTACTGGTTCCTGGTTTGATATTGTCACTGTTACTTATACTGCACATGCTGGCTATAGACATGAAACCCTTTTAGAATTGCTGTGGCATTATCAGAAACAAATCTAAGATCCTCTTATACTTCCTCTACTTTTAAAAAGATTACTGGGAAATTTGAATTTGCCTTTTTTTTTTTTCTTTTTGAAATAGGGTCTCACTATGTAGTTCGGGCTGGCCTTGAACTCACTATGTAGCCCAAGCTGGCCTCGAATTTGTGGTGATTCTCCTGCCTCAGCCTCCCAAGTGCTGGGAGTACAAGTGTGTACCACCATACCCATCATGCCTCATATTTTAGTTTAGTGAGTGCCATTTTGTTATGAAAGCAAGCTGGTGCTGACATTTCCATGAGACCTATTCCTAGTAAATGACTTCTGATGCTCTTTCTTATTAGAAATTGCTATGAACTGATGTCTTCCCCAAACTGATGACTGCATCTTCCCAGAGTTCTTCTGTTGAAACCTAATCCCCATTATGATAGTATATAGAAATGGAGTCTCTGGGACATGATCAGCTCATGAGGGTGAAACTCTCATGGTGTTATTAGTGTCCTTCTAGGAAGAGAAACTAAACAGCTTGCTTCTTCTGTCTTCTGCTTTTTGAGACTGCAGCTAGAAGACAACCATCTGCAAACCAAAAAGAGGGCTATCACCAGAATCTCACTGATAATCTTCTGATCTTGGAGCTTCTAGCTTCCATAACTGTGAGAAATGAATTTTTATTTAAACTCCCAGTCTGTGGTGTTGTTAGAGCAGCCTGCACTAAGACAGGAATGTTTCAATTCTACTGTGCTACTAAATAAAAATAAGTACAAGTAACAATGCCTCAAACCTAAGTTACTTGAAGAATATCTAAAGGATATAAAGACATAAAGTGAATACTATATTGTTGAGGGTGGATGAGTAGGTTTGGATTTTTTTATTTTGAAAAATTTCAAATATCTGAATAGTTGCAAGAATAATGCAATAAGTACTTACAATGCTTTAACCTAGATTGACCGATGGTTCCTATTTTGTTACATTTATACATTCCTGTTCTCATTTTTCCTCTGATGTATGTAAATGTGAGTATGACTGCCTGAAGATACAGTAGCTTTAAATAGCACCCCCCCATTTAGAGTTTATCGCACATATTTCCAAAATATTTTAGCATGAATCTCAGGGAGTTTAATACTGGTACATTTATTGCATAGTTCATATACAGATTTTTCCACTTTTCAGATTCTAAAATAGCAAATTATTTTAAAAGGGCACATTACTTTGAAAAATGTCAAGATTTATTATACAGTAAACCATAGTAAATTCTAAATGAGCATCCTGAAGTATGGTTCTAAGCCAGACTTTTCAAGATGTGAATTTCAATGTGCTTAGTTATCAAAACTATCTCTGAACGGTGTGAGGTCCTAAACTCGTGTATTTCTTCTAATGTACAAACTGTCTTGTGAAGATAAAAATAGGAATTAGGGGTAGGTTTTCTTTTATTAAGTTCTCTTTTAACTCGAAAATTCTGTGGTATTAAAAAAATGAACAGGTATTTACAAACTATTAAATATGTGGCACAGTGCTGGGTGCTGTAGATATCCTTGATCTCCTAGAATTCAAGTGAAGAAGTTGTACACAAATAAATGAGTGAAAGCAAGCTGTCTGTGAAGAACCGTAAGAATACATTAACAGAGTAGATGAAAAAATTCACAGGTAGAAGAAATTGGGCTGGGTGGTGAGAAGAGAACAGTCAGCCTTGATTGAGTTGTAAATATTTGTTAACAGAAACAGGGGTAAAGGATGGTTTCAGTTAACCTTTCGGTGTACCACTGTTTCTCTTTTACCCTTCTTCTCGTCTCTTTCATCCACTTCTCTAAACATATCTTCATTGCTTAAAGGCCTGTTGTGTATATCTTCTTTAAATTCCTGGAGAGGATGAATTAGCCTTTCCCTGAAGTTTTCTTCCGGTTTTTCCTCCTCCTCTGGCTTTTCCCCAGACTTTGGTTCTTCCTCAAGCTTGGACTCATTCTTATTCTTTGGTTTTTCTTCAGTTTTTTGACAGGGTTTCATCTTTTGTCTGTCTGCTTCCCTCTTTCTTTAGATCTAGTCTGAAAAATTCAATGCTTCATTGGCTATTAGGAAGGATTATTCTACCTATAATTTCACTTGTATAAAATACTTATTAAAATGGGAAAATGAATAAAAAGCAAAAGTGGTTGATAGACTGGGAACTTGACAATTTTATTATAACTAGAAAAAAAATCTAGAAAAATTAAAACTTTGCTTTGTATTTAATGGTTACTTTATATACATGGTACTAAAGTAAAAATCTGAAGGAAATACCAAAAAAAAAAATCTTTGTTTCATCCTTATCACTTCCCAGTTCCCCTTGCAAGAAGGCAGCTACTGTTACTGCGTTATTGTGAATATTTGGTACCTATACAAGCACACATTCACATATTTACATATGAATGTATTATTCCTAATCATATAGTAGCTACCTTATCATCAGGATGGCTTCAATCGAAAGAACAGAAAACAGGGCTGGAGGCCTATCTCAGTGATAGAGCACTTGCCTAGCATGTGCAAGGCCCTCAGTTTGATCCCCATGGGCAGGACCAGAAAGGAGGGGCAACAGAAAATAACAAATGTTTGGGAGAATGGAGAGAAAATGGAATCCTTGTGCACTGTAAACAGGAATGTAAAATGGTATAGCTAGTGTGGAAAATGCTATGATGGTACATCAACAATTTTAAATGTAGAATTACTATATGATCCACAGTTTTACTTTTGGGTATATACCCAAAAGAATAGAAAGCAGGAAAGGGAAGAGATATTTTCATACCTTTATTTTTGGTGACATTATTCATAATAGTCAAGAGGTGGAAGCACCCACCATGGATGAATGGGCAAACAAAATATAAACAGATATATAAAATGGAATAATATTTAGTCTTTAGAAGAAAGGAAATTCTCTCAAATGCTACAATATGCGTGAACTTTGAAGATATTGCGCTAATTAAAATAAATCAGGCAAAATTCTTCATGTTTTCACTTAATGTGTTATCTAAAGTAACCAAATTCATAGAAACAGAAAGTAAAGCTTTGAAAAAGTCTGATGGCATCAGCCTGGGCTGGGGATTTAGCTCAGTGGTTTCGCTGCCTGCTGTGCAAGTGCAAGGACCCGAGTTCGATCCCTGGTACCAAAAAAAAAAAAAGATCTAAATATTAAAACTGATGGCATCAGCCTAAAAAGCTGAAACAGTAAAGAAAATAATCAGCAGAGTAAAGAGACAACCTACAGAATGGGAGAAAATCTTTGCAAACCACATCTGGTAAGGAGTTAATATCTAGAATATGTAAGGAAGCAAAACAGCTCAAAAGCAAGAAAACAAAAGATCCAGTTAAAAAAATGGGCAATGGACCTAAATAGGCATTTCTAAAAAGAAGACATACAAATAGTCAGTAGGTATGTGAATTATCTGCTGCTTTTGAGTTTCTCTGCTTTTAGTTGGCTTAATTATGATGTATCTAAACCTGATTTTCTCTGTATTATTTATCCTTACTGCTTCTTGAATCTGAGGTTTGTTGCCTAAGATCAATTTTGAGAAATTCTTGACCATTGTATATTTGCATTATATGAGATATAATTGAAAAAATATGATGAGTGTTGTCATTAAAGAAAGATGAAACTGACCATTTCTCAGGCCGTTTTCTATGCACATTATTTCTTAAAGAATAAGCCCTTAAAATATTCAGAATTTATTGTAGTGTTTCTGGATACAAATTTAGCTAACACAGTTCCATAAAGGTCAAAAAACACAACATCATCTTGATGTTGGAGTTTGAGCAGTGTACATTTTTTGCAGGAGAACAGGGTGATTTCCATTGAGAACTCTGAACCTTGATCTTAGGATCATAACAATAGACCCGAGTTTCATCTCCCAGCATGACATTTCTTAGAAAGCTGGACTCTGAAGTGGTATGATCGTGGAACTCCAGTGTTTTTCTAGATTCATGATTTACAGCCCACTGACTTTAAAACACAACTGACTGACTACCACGAACAAGTTGAAACTTGTCACACAGTTGCTGAGGTTTGGTGTGCCACTTCTATTGAAGATGCCTACCCTTCTGTTGGAGGTACTCAGCAGCATTCACTGTAGCGTTTGATCACACCACTTCTATTTTGCTTCTGCTCTAATCTCTGTCTCTTTATTTTGGACTTCCAGTTACCTCTGTAGACTTTTTCACTATTTCTAATGCTCCTACACTTACTGTCATATTTTCTAACTTTTCCTCTGTATTTCAGTCTGGATAACTTTTTCTAATTTATTGTCCAGTTCACTAATTTTCTCTTGTATTCTAATCTGCTTCTGAACCCATTTCATTAAGTTCTTAAATTGAATTGTCTTTTCAGTTCTAGAGTTTTCACTCATTTTTTCTCTTCAGTTTCTTATTGAATTTAAATTTCAATTTAAACATTTAAAGAAGGGAAAATCAATACTGGTATACTCCAGTAAATTTATTAGTTGAGTCTGTTTTGCCATATTTGCTTTATTTCTGTACATAGAGCTCATTCTCCTTAGATTATTTGAGAGTAAATTGCAGACATTATGACTGTTCTTTCCTAAATACTTCATGACTTTTCTTCCTGAAGCACTTTAGCATGTACATTCCAAAAACAAGGACTTATACTACATAAGCATAATAATTTTCACATTCAATTTAGCATGTAATACTTAATGTAATACTTTAGCATGTAATACTTAATGTAATGTGAACTCCATATTCAAAATTTCTCAAATGTCTCACTATAATCCTTTATGGCTTGCCCACAACCTTCAAGGATCACACATCACATTTAGTTGTCTGTCACTTTTGTTTTTTAAGTTAGAATTGTTTCCTAATCCTTTTTTTATGAAAGGGGTGTTGGTTCCATTTTGATGCTGATAAATTTGGTTTCTAGACCAGTTATTTTGAGAATGTTCCTCAATTTGGATTCATCTTATTATTTCCTCATAATTAGTTTCAGATTAAATATTTTTTGGCAAGAATACATCAGGATACCCTGAAGTTAGTTGACTTTCTTATTGGTAATATTAAGTTTGGTCATTTGATTAAGGAGAAACTATTTATTAAAAACTTGTAATCTGCATTAGTAATAGTCTCTACATATTACATGATGTAGCAAAATATTCTTTCTTTAAAATACAAAACTGGGCAGAAACTGAAAGCATTTTCTAGTACTAGAGTATTTGACTAGTACTTACCAAGTGGGTAGACTTCGTAAGTACTCTTCACACTTTATATGCATGGGCAACTAACAACTCAGATACTTCCACTAGGAACTCTATTTTATATAAGAACCCTTTCCCTTTTGAATTTTGATTGCTCAGCCAAGAGTTCTTAATGAGAGCCAATGTAAGTATATTTATTTATATTTATTCAAATTAATGTGTTTTTAAAATAATGGTTTAAACTAGCTACTTGTTTACTTGTTTTTGCTGTTTTTAAAAGTCTTTAATTCTGAATCAGTCGCTTAAATATATCTTCAAAAAAGGGCTACACATAAAAAACCCACCAACACAGATATTTATGTTGGAAAGAATCGTAATAGTTTTTGTTGGTACTCTAATTTTTTTTAGATTTTCACAGAAATTTTTATAAAGTACCTCTTAGCCATTGTCTGCATTTACTTTTAAGAGATATGAAACTGTCGGAGCTAGTATAACTGCTGAACGGTTAGAAACAATACAAAATGCTTAGACCAAGAAAACCGTATAGGATCTACATTTTTAAGAACTCAATAGTCAGGCTCTCATCGAAATATAACACTTAATAGAATAAGCCCATATGTTTTGTTGAATTCAAGAAGAAAATTAGCTGATCCATTGAACATACTATTTTGTTTTGGGTTTTTGGTACCAGGGATTGAACTTGGGACCTTGAGCTTGTGAGGCGAGTGCCAGAACCACTGAGCTAAATCCCTGGCCCTGTTTTGTTTTTGAAGATACTGTACCTTTATTTTTAATGTCCGTGTATAATGCATGTTTGAACTTCATTAAGTCTATGAAGATGTTATACATATAGGGACTAAATCTGATTAGGAGCATCTTGTTTATGCAGCATCATTAATTTAACAAATAAGCTGAATAATTTAGGCCTAAAGTTTATGTTTGTTATTAGGGTTATAAAGTTGGTTATCTCCAGGATCTTATAGGCTAATAAAAGATAAAGATGTAAGCAAATATTTATAGTACACTCTGTAATAAAGCACTACGCAAAGTATCATAGAAGCACATAGAGAGCTCAGCTAACTTTGCCATATTAAAATGAAGCTGTATACGACTGCATAAATCAAAACACCTGACATCATTAGACCTGCTCTGATTCATACAGGTTTTTATCTTTGTCAAATGTCTATGCTGTACATAATGAATTTCTAGGTTTTTTTTTTTTTACAGACAAACCATTGAAGCTTTTGGTAATTGACCTATTTTTTGTGAAATTTTTGTTTACCTTTTAGCCTGATAGTCTGATAAAGAAGTTGTGTTTTCATTTGGTATTTTTTTTTGCTTGTCATAAATGCTTCCTATGACTTCCAAGTACCTCTTTATTGTTTAAAATTAACACATTTTGAGGATTATACAGTAATTGATTACTCTTTGGATATAAAATTTGCTAAAATTTGACTTTGTCAAGGGTAAAGTTTCTCATCAGTATAAATAGAATTATCCTGTGTTATTGTCTCAGGAGAAATGTTTGTTTGCATGCCTTTTGAGTTTGAGGTTTGAATTAGGAATTGAATATGCCAGTTGATGGAGAGATGGATAAATGCTTAAACAATAGCACACAGTTTGTGGAGCCCTACCTGCATCTTGTTAAATGTGACTATCAGTGCTGAGTAAATCACCAAGCAAATTGCTCCACAATCCCAAGTAAGGATCTATAAAGTCTCTTAAAATTTTATTGAAAGAATAAACTTCTGTTTTGATGGTATAAACATTGATAATTACTTAGTCATTTTTCTAGTATTTTATCTATTAACCGATGTATTAGCTTCTTAGTATAATCATGATTGCATTTTTTTTATTGATAATCCTTAAAGTCTAATTTTCTCCCTCACATCGAGCTAGTTTTCAACTGGTTAAATTTTCAAGATGCTTAAATGCTTATGTTTATAGTTTTCCAAGTTTTACTCAGTTTTGGGATAGTACTGATTACTAAAGAAACTCCCAATTGCTAAATAGCAATAGTAGGCTGAGCACATTTTTTTAAAAGTAATTTTTATGTAGGTCAGATTACCCTTCAAAATACAAGACATTGATTGAGATTCTTAGATCTCTTATAAAATGTTTTATATTGCCTGGCCTGAATATTATCTAGGTAAGACAATATAATTAGAACTTAATTGAATGGATCAGATTCAAGAAAACAGTGCTAACCTTTAATTTTCTCAATATTGTAAATGTCTTTTTCAATCTTCAGCTTCATTAACTTCTATAATTTGAAATTATCCCAGTTATTACCTAAAATGTGTACTGGAATTCCTTAAAATAGATCTTGAATAGCAGTTTAACTATACAGTAATTTTATTTTTTATATCTATTATATCTATATAGTCACAAACACTATGTACGTACTACTTTTTCATGACTTTGAGGTCAGAACCTGTGTTTTCTTTATCTTTGTTTTCCAGTACTTAGCATCAATAATCATTGGAAGTAAGGGAGGTAGAAAATGAATACTCTTCAGGTTCTAAGAACATTACTTAAATTATTATCAAGTCTAATTTCCATTCTCTTATGCTTTTCCTTAGTTTGATTATTTCAGCCAGAATATGAAAAATATATGTGACTAGAATGAAATGAATAAGAACTTTTAGAAAATGGAACGCTAAGGTCTAGAGAAGTAGTAAGTATCTAATCAGTGGAATTAAGCAAGCAGAAGTTAGATTATTCTTTGACAGTGATAGTGAATTAGAGTCTTTATGAGGAAAGTTCAGGGTAAAATCTCACATTTTTTTATTTTCAAATTTTTGTGAAAAGTATTTAATAATTAGAAGGTCAAGATTTTGCAGTGCATAGAGTCAAAAGCTAGAGCGAGTGAAAAGAACCAGATGTTTAATAAAATTTGGTTTAAGGGCTGGGGATTTAGCTCAGTGGTTCCACCACCTGCCTTGCAAGCTCAAGGTCCCGAGTTCAATCCCCGGTACGAAAACAACAACAACAACAAAAAAAAACAGTTTGAAAAGAATTTCAGAGACAGCGGAGCCGGGGCGCTGGCGGGGGCGGAGGCGCCAGGACGGGGGCTGCGGGGCCACGGCGCCGCGCCCGCTCCCGCTCCTCGGCTCGCCCGTCGAGCGCGGTGTCCAGGCAGAGCCCTCACCGTCCGGGCCAGGGGCGCGCGTCGGGGAGGCTCGCGCCATGGATCCCGGGCAGCAGTTGCTGCCTCAGCCGGCGTCCCAGGACCCGGGGCAGCCGCCCGCGCTGGGGCAGCCTGCTCCTCCAGCGTCCCAGGCGGCGCCGCAGCCACCCCCGCAGCCACCCCCCCCCCCCCCCCCCGCCCCGGCCGGCCACCAGATTGTGCACGTCCAGGGGGACGCGGAGACCGACCTGGAGGCGCTCTTCAACGCCGTCATGAACCCCAAGATGGCCACCGTGCCCCAGACAGTGCCCATGAGGCTCCGGAAGCTCCCCGACTCCTTTAAGCCACAGGAGCCCAAATCCCACTCCCGACAGGCCAGTACCGATGCAGGCACTGCAGGAGCCCTGACTCCACAACATGTTCGAGCTCATTCCTCTCCAGCGTCCTTGCAGCTGTGAGCCATTTCTCCTGGGACGTTGACCCGCACTGGAGTAGTCTCTGGCCCAGCAGCTACACCCACTGCCCAACATCTTCGCCAGTCTTTTTTTGAGATACCTGATGACGTACCTCTGCCAGCAGGCTGGGAGATGGCCAAGACATCTTCTGGTCAGAGATACTTCTTAAATCACATCGACCAGACAACAACATGGCAGGACCCCAGTGTTGAGAGCAATGTTACATAGTTCTAGGGAAAAGTTATTTGGTTGGCCTCGTTCTCTTGCCTACAGCCCAGCTACAGAGTGACTCCGGTTTGGCCACCGGTCACAGCTGAGACTTCGGTGATCCAGTGGTGCTGTGATTCTCCAGGGCAAGAAACATCCTGGGAGAACAAACATCTGCTCAGTTCCTCATTGTTCTTGGACTGTTAACATCTTGTTTACCCAAGATGTACTGAACTCTCTGCAAGCTTTTTGTTACACCTTATTGTTTATCCCAATGTGAACTATTGAACTGTCTGTAAGTCATTTGTTGCATTTGTTTCTCCAGATGTACTGAATTCTCTGCAAATCATTTGTTACGAGGTAATGAATAAAAGGTGTGGTGGGCTGGGGGCTTTGGTCTTTGCTG